GTGGATTAAGATCGCACAAGCTTAGCCACATTTTTCCGTCCTATAAACAGGACTTTCAAGGGCGTATATCTTATATTACAGTATTTTATGGTGAATTTTTAAAACAAATATGCAAATGTGTATTTCCACATTATACTCTATACAATAAAGCATTTTTTAGGCTAACAAAGGTTTGGTTTCACAGCTGCGAAGGGTCTAATCATTGTTTTCGCGTAGACATTTAGAATATATTATAATATAGGAATCCAATAAAATCTTTGGCTTATTCAATATCAAGCTTAGCTATAAAAATTTCCCATCGAACTGCTGTCTTTGAAGAGAGGCTAGCTACACAATGTAGAAAGCTTTATGCACTACGGGCTGTAACTTGTTCGCCTCATATCCCTCTAGCACCAACAGTTCAAGGCCTGCTGGGAAAGCTGATGAGACAATGAGGCAAGGTCAAAATTTAAGTCCAACCTGGTTTAGAACGGCCTTATGGAAATCATGGCGATGGGACTAAGCACAATAATTCTCATAAATACACCCTGTGCAGTTTCGTTATAACTAGCCTATAAATCCATTATATATCCTAATCAGAAAAACTTGTTTAAGAAGTTAAGCTATTCTATGTATAATTTATATAATTTCTTCTACAATTTTGTTATTTTTAGATGTTATCTATATTTTTTCTTGCGCTTTCTTGGAGATATCAAATTAGAGAAGAGAGAAGATAATGGAAAAGAGTTTTATAATTGCAAATATCTCGTAGGCTCTTTTTCCTGGATAAATTTGTCTTTTATTCAACCTATTTTAGTATATAATCTTTAAGACTTACAGCCCATGCGCAGGATACTCCGCACTTGCCGCATCTTGGCCTCCGTGTACTCGACTGGAAGCTGCATGATGCGACAGTAACCCGCCCAATCTGGCCGCTCAACAAATAGGATATACCGACGCCGCAAATGCACATCGGTCCAACACCTGTTCTTGTCAGGAAACCGACTAAACGGGCCTGTGCGTATTGGGAAGTCATTGCGCACTGGAAAGATGCTGGGTTCAGCACGCTTTAGAACCGACTCGACAAAAAAACTGACATTATATAACGGTCCATTGCGCAGCTGGAAGAATCGTTCTGGCCAGCCGATCACGACAATATCGGCGAGCAGAGCGCTTGTTTCGAGGTTGTCACGGAATCTATGCAGACAGGGAAGGTTCTGATGCAGTGGGGTAACAAATGGACGCTTTTTCTGATCGGCTTCAATTACAGGGATTTGGGAGGCCTCGTCATAAGCCGAAGGTACAAGGGTGGGCTGCTGTGAAAAGGAGGGACACGGAGAGGAGGCGGGAAGCGGAGGAAGGAGAGGAAGACCCGTGTGCGAGAGCGTGTGAGCAGAGTTGGGGAAGGGAGTGGAGGAAGAGGGCGAAATTGGAGTAAATTGCGAGGAAGAAGAAGGAAGCGGAAGGAACGAAGAAGAGGAAGGGGGTTTGGAGGCGAATGTGGAGGAAGAGGAGGAGGAAGCGAAGAAGGAGAACGAGGGAAAGGAAGCAAAAGGTGAATCTGAAGACTGTGAAGAAGATTCTTTGTAACGTGGCTGCAAAGCCTGACGACGGAGTTCAGTTCTAGTTAACTGTAGCTGAGCCAGGCGGAGTCCAAGCTGGGGATGATCGGAGTCGTATTCATCCTCGTTGATAGATATCGCCTGTGCGTCTGCATACAGGATGGGTCGTAGACTAAACAGCCGAGCACAATAGTCGTTGACCAGCAGAAGCAGCGTTAGTAACAAGATCAAAGCCAAAGCCGTCACAGGACTCGTGCCTGCAGTCGGACTGGCCTCTGCTCCACTGTCGCCAGGGCCGGGACCAGGACCGGAGCCAGTCGAGGAGGAGGTCAAGGGCAGAGGACGACCCACGGAATCGGATTCAGTTGGCCAGAGCTCGGCGTCCACATTGTAGGCGGTATGTCTGCCGGCCCGAAATGGCACAAAAAGACAGGCAAGGTGTATGGGATAACAGTCGGCAAGACAGGCCGTTAATGGGAAACGGACCCGAAGCCAAATATGCCTCGCTGAAAACATACCAGCCTGCCTATGCTGCTGTTGATGATAATGTAGCTGTTGCTTCTGCGAATGCGGGTGTTTACGGTTGATCGGCTGGAGATAAGCGTGAAACGTTGGCAGGCCGGGCCTGAAGAGGAGTCGAGTAGTGTCCTTACGGCCTGGTAAAGAGGTCGACGATCTTGCCGGCAGTAGTGGCAACCGCTCCAATGCAGATGACTGTAGATAGCCGAGGAGAACTAGGAGGCAACTGAAAAGTGTGAAGATGAGTACAATCATGATGCGTAGATGAGGGCAAGCCGAGTCCATTTGATCATCGGGGCTGGAGCCTTCAAGGCGATCATTGTTCGTCAGGCTGCTGGCATTGCAGTCGGAAGAGGAGTTGGCTCCTGCATCTTCAGTGAGGCCGGGCAAAATGTGGATTCGCAAGAGGCAAGCGAAAAGTGTAACGAGAACAACAGTGCAGGCCAGATTGTACCTGGGCATCTGGTAGCTGCTTTTTTGCCGGCCGAAGGAAAAGGGCAGCCAGGTTGGAACGATTCCGGACACTTGCATGTGACCAGTGACTTTGACGAAGAAGACACACAGTCGCATCGAGTTAACAGCTTTTATCGTCGAGCAAGGCGGCCAGAAGGTGGGTCGCTTCCGCAGGACCCCTTTCGACGTCCATTTAACAAGGGAATGGCCTTCAAATGGAAACAGGCCATACCGACTGCGGAGCATCATTAGAAGGACAGACAGGGCCTTGTGAAGAGTGCTGGAGGCGGGTTCAAGCCAAACTTCAACGCATCCTCCTGGCAAGGGCACCAACCTCGGCAAACCAGTTTCTATCATGCCATCCACCTGTGGGGTAATAATCCATCTGAGGCTCCCCGTTACGCCAAAGGGCGGTCGGACGAGTTCCACTTTAACGTGCCTTACAGGAAAATGTGATACTGGGAGTCAGATAGATCCAAGCACTTGTTGTAATAATCGGCCTGGCTACAGTTGATCCAGTCAATTCTCGGCTTTGAACTGATCAGGAAAGCCGGCACACGTGGCTTCATCAAAGACAGACGCCATCCGGTTGAGTAAGAAGAGTACTAATACAACGATTCTACGCCATTTTGCAGATACAGGACCAACTTCTTCCTTATTTCCTTGTTCATCTTCTTTATCTTTTTTGGCTGCATATTCCCTTGCTAGCCCTCCCTTGAAAATCTGGCCACTTTCTTCTCTAAAGCCAGGCATAGGGGCACAACTTTCGACAGACAGACACACACACACACAACTACATACGCACACACGACCACATATGCACACACAGTCTCACGGCAACGATCTTTTGTGTTAAGTGCATTTGTGTGCAGGCAAACAATTCAAAGATACCCGAAGATGATTTGATGGTCATGCGTGTCTATTTCCTGGGATAAATGAGTGAAGCGGACCATGGGACTGCAGTTGTCCGCCTGCCTTGGCACAACTTGTTGGGTCATTCTATAGAGCACCTGTGCATGCCATGACACATGCATGAACATAACTACAGAAATACACACACACATGCAGGCAAATATACTTAGTGCAGCTTTAGGTAACTGGACGTAGGGTTACTAACCTACCTGCCATCAAACTCGAAGCCAGCACACACAAGCATGCACGCATAATGCATATAGAGTTCTACAAAGACAGTCAATCCAGGGTAACCTCCATTGGATTTGAACATTTGTTCGGCACACAAATGGCACTAAGACGCACGGGAGATTAGCCACGCAAATATAAATATGCACACTAATGGCCACAGTTTTACCCGCATGTGTGGGCCTGCTCTTGTGCATGTGAGTATGCGCTGCCTCATATGAGTGTATACAAAGGTCGTGTGGTGCCCTGTGCACACATTCAGCGGACAGATCAGCCCAACCTTCACTTGCCGCATTCAACTAAGCCTCAAGTAAAGGGCTTACACGAATATGCCATCAAACCCGCAAATGCCAAACAGTAGGTCTATAGAGGTGCTCCCACAGCAATATAGGGGTGAATGCGCATATAATAGTATACAGCATAGATGGAGCAATATTTTCATCTTGTTTTTATTGCAGTCAATCGGGGCGCACTGCAATAAAAAACTGAAATCCACTCTCAACAAAGCTGATTGGTACTACAAAGAAGAAAACCTGCATTATTAGCCAACAAGAAGGTCTGTTCCAAGATAAAGGGATTTCAAGCGCAATAGCTTTTCTCTATAACAAAAGAATAGTCAGGTACAAAAGTTCCCTGACACTGAGAAGATTGAACTCATGTGAAGTTGGATTTAAATTGAAACTTAGCTAGATAGGCGGTAAAACGCCTAAACCCTCGATCTGGGCTATCTACTTCTATGCATAATCATCTATGTCGCAAGAATTGGAGACTCCAAATGTACTGTGGCAAGAAAGAACTATATTGAAAATATTAACTCCAAGTAAGTGAGGTAACCAACCGGCCAATAGCAAGACACTTTTGCTTGCAACATTGCCTTTGCTTGTAAGC